TTCACTGTTTGGACTGTCAGACATGGATGACTGTACAACTGTTATACCATTAGTATCCCAATCTATATTGAAAGCTGCGGGTTTGGATCCAATGGTTTCACACGTCAGTATATGTGATAGACCATCTGTAACTATGACGTCATCACCTGATGTATATCCACCAGTATTAACATCATCTGATATTGTAATTGTATTGACAGCAACTGTAGAGAACAATAATAGAACTGAAAGGTATGATATAACCGAATCTTCATGAATGTGATAAGAAGACCAAGAGTACAACTATTTGTTTGTTTGTTTTTTTCAATTTAACACAATGTTATTGTTATTTTGTCATGATTTGTGCCAATGGTATATTCATATGGGTACAGGACTAGTGAAGCACAACAAACAAGTCTTGAGACGAATTCAAAGAACGATTTTCCAGTGCGTATGACTTTACAAACCTTTAACATATTCAAGAATGATAATTGGATGAAAATTGTCATATTTCAGTCGAAACGTGTTAATGGTGACGACAGACAGACAGTGTAACCTCATAACTTGCAAAGGGCAGTTAATATATAAATACAAAAACACACTATGTCGGCATTCCGGGTGCGACCACTAAAGCGAAAGGATGATTGTAGCATGCGAGCGAAGATTTAAATCTCTTGAGACCATCGTAATCGACATATTTTTCTACAGTGGTGAAATTGTAACTATAATGTATCACTAAACGAGAATGTTATTTATTTTATAACTGTACCGAACATAAACAAGATGTATGAGAGTTAGTAATAACGTGGTTGGGAGCCCTTGGATTGATTGAAATTCAAAGAGTAATATAAACTCTTCAGCGACAAGGTGACAACGATTCAGTGTGTGACACGTTACCGAATCTGTTCATTGTGTGTGATGTTGACGGACAATGCGCCGTGTACCGAGACAGTTGTGTTTGCTTACGGCTACTATTAGTGTGAAATTTACGTGCATTATCGATTTAGTGACTTCGATCCAAATTCATCGAGCGAGTGAGACTGGAAGTTGCTTTTTGGCCGTATTTCTTTCATTTCAACGGTCTTTTGGCTAAAATGCAATTGAGAGTTATGTATATCTATAACTGATGTTTGGTGGACAAAAATAATCAGAGAAATGAATTTAGAAATATAGTGGAGGGGAATAACAACAATTTGCCAAGTATGATATAAAATTCTACTTGATATTTGAATATGTTCATGTGCGTTGTCTGCTATAATGTAGTTAAACACAGCATGATTAACGAGTCTCTCTGGAGGATTTCATATAAACACATTACTCTAAAATATTATTGGAAATCCACACAGTACTACCCACAATAATGCGTAGGGACTCTATAATCTTTTTGAGGGGGGAAACTAAAAACTATATGAATCACTATCTTTAATAGGACACGATTTATTGGTTCTACATGCAATTAAAATAACTCACAACCCTGTATTTTAAATTGTCATGAATTACCTAATTTGAAACTTGTGTATGTACAATTCTTCGGTTAATATAGTGTCGACTTTGATCTATATTGTAAGTCGGAATTAATGCCATGTAACATCGATTGAAATTGGGAACACTCGGAATTTTCCAAAGTACAACGACGACCGATCGGCCGCCAATCAAGAATTTTGATATGTAAACAGCGCTGGACTGGGGAAATCTTAAATGCACTGACAGTGAATAAAAGAAGACATGATACAACGCCCAGAAGTAAGGGAAAATACATCAATTAACCGAAATGCCGAAGTCTGCATTCAATGTTTACAACGGCACTAGTGATTAACGAGGATACGTAACGCCTTACTACGTACGTCTTCATTGGCTACACTCAAAATAACTATCATATTTTCTATTATATAGTTTATAATTGGAGGATGACATTAGGAGTGATCGTCAACGCCACGGGTTTAGCGTCTTCTAATTATACTTTTAAATTAGATAGAAGTTTTAAATTAGATAGAGCCGTATATTCACATCATTATAACCAATACAAACTGTAAAACGGTGTAGTAACTCGAACGTGGGTCAGCTACTCATCAACCAACACTGAGCTTCGACAATGTGTGTGCAATGGAATCGACTCGAAAGGTAATTCGCTTCCATGCTGACTCGCATCCTTATCCAAAATATGTGTCTCTTTAACCCAAACAGTGTCCAATTACAAAATGGTCGTCGAACGATTTACAAATACCGGATATTATATAATATTATCTTTTGTTATTGGGATGGAGCATGTCAATAATCTACTCACCATTCACGTCAAGTTTAAGCTTCGTTGTTACAGCATTTCCAATAGCATCAATATCAGCTTTACATTTGACGTATTGTAGATGGTTACTCCACTGTGGTGTAAATGTAAATGTACTGGACACATCAAATAATTCGCTGTCCTCTGAATTAGGAGTAGATGACGTCATTGTAGTTGACTGTAGTGTATTACTAATATACCACTCTATAGTAGGTGCAGGTTTTGCAGTAGCTGTACAAGTCAGAGTAGAAGACCTTCCAGCATTTACAGTAAAATCGTCATCATTGTTATACCCATCTATCACTGGAGATAATGGCGGAACTGAATAAAACAATTTTAAGAAGAGATTTGTAGAACCAGAGCAGAAATATTGCCAGACCTGCTACAAGTTAATTGCTATTCCATACTAGTATGTACTGTAATGTACTTGTAGTGTCATATAAACCATTACTTACCTAATACATCCAATGTCACATATGTACTGTAGTGTGTATGTGTGGTAAATACATAGGCTTCACATTTAATATCTTTATCTTGGTCAC